GGGGGGGGAGAAAGAGCGCGATATATTTGTGCAGAAGAGGCCTGAACCTTGTAGTAAGGTCACGTCGATAACGCGATAATCGCTGACTTTGCTGACCCCCGATCTTGAAACGCTTATTTTTAGTCGATTGGCTCTCGATGCTGGGATCTCGGCGCGGAATCAGGCGTAACAAGTTAAGTTTTTTCCTACTTCTATTACTTCGAATCGCGTTATTATTGTCACGGTTTCCAGTAGAGTTTCCTCAATTACGAATCTTTCCCCACCACTTTATAAAGATTCCGAATCGCTCGTAATCGCCGACATCAAGCACGTAACTACAAGATGCAAGGTACAAAACGAACGGAACGAGAGCACAAAATGGATATTTAAAGTGGCTTTTAACCTCCAAGGACTGAAAGATGTAATATTCCTTGTGAAATTTTCGTTTTTTCTTCTCTCTCTCTCTCTCTCTCTCTCTCTCTTTCTCTCTCCTTTCGTAACAGTCGTTTGAGCAAACGAACAGGAATTGTCGTTCAAATAGAAAGGCGAAAAACTGCTCGATAAAGGAGGCAAGAGTTATTAAAAGTTCTCCAGCAGACGAAGCCCCCGGTAAGCCTTTTACGCGTGCACTTTCTACCACGTTATCTACGTCGCGCACTCTATAATGTAGAATCTACATTATTATCCGCCGAGCGGATGAAAACGGGATAAAAAGAAGCTTCTAAAACGCGAGACTTTTCATAAATATTCTCCGTGCATATTTCTCATATCGTTCGCTCAGCTATCTTTCGCATGCATCGCTGCGCTTTAACGAACCATCTCTTCGTCGAACAGAGAATTCGTTACTTGATAATAGCTTGTAAAGCTATCCCGCATTTTCTAACAGCGAAGCGATGTTCTAGTTGCACTTACAACATTCGCCAGCGAAGACGACGCTTCGAAACTTTTCCTCGCGACGAAATTTCTCTCTGGAAATTAATAAAATAATTCCTTTTTAAATGCTCGTTCTCGCGAATTTAAAAAGGAATTTTTTCATTGGACAATAAATTGTCGATTTTGTTCGATTATCTTTTGCCATATTTCGGGCAACTGCGCGTTGAAAAGAGCGGAGTCATCATCTTTCTCAATTCGATTCTGAAACTTTTCGAAACTTTTCGAATATGCTCCTTTTTGATTTTCCATTTGGAAATGAAAGAAACAACTGTTGATGAGAGATCGTGCGTTTTCGTTTTCTAAACTTGCGGTTTAAAACGAAGTTTATTTATTTTTCAAAATAAATGTCTATTTGGGAAAAGAGCGAAATTACTTGTTGGTTAACTCAATGTATATTTGTAATTCTTTTTTTTATTATTGAAATTTTCACTGTAAAACTCGGCGTTATCTTTATCATCTGTCCCTATTCAGCTCGTTCTCCAAATCGTGTCACCGTTTCATCAACTTTATTACGCGAGCACACCGTCCTCCCCCAATCTATGATTCAAACCTAACCATCGAGCTACCCCCAGTGAATTCGAAATTTCACGGGAGAGACACTGGTGTTCGCCGACGAAAGAACTGTCCAACAGTCTCTCGAATTTCGTGCGAGTGATCACCTCCGGACCAGAGGAGACGCAGTACTTCCTTTTTTCCCCGTCTCTCGTTTACCAGCCGGCCATCAGTTCATCAGGATCGGTCCGAGGCGAGTCTCGATTTCGCGTCACGTGCCGAAATGCTTCAGAAACGCAGAAGTTTCGCCCGCGTCAAGAAGGAACAAAATGACTCCCTCGGGGGAGTCCACGCATTATACGGCTCGAAAGAATTAATTTTGACCATCCTACGCCAGCCATTTGTCACTGCCTTCGCTGTCGCGGTATCATAGTTACGGCAAAAGGTATACTTTTGCCCTGATGCAAGAAGCAACGTGGTTCTTTGAAAAAAAAAAAAAAAAAAAAAAAACGGAGAATAAAATGGAACAGAACGATATGATAGATGACATTGTCAATTTACTTATACGTTGTGCATCGTTATTATGCTATTAGCCGGGCGATTGGTATGATTCGGTGATTATGCTGTTACACGTTATTATGCACCCGGCTGGCCCGTGTTTATACACGACGACGAAACAAATCTCGATGTGGGGCCAACTATTGACCTCTTAATGACGAATTCAAGCGGACCCGTTTCAAGAACCCGGCCCCGACTTATTCAATGCAATTTCTCTCCCTCGCTGATACTCCATTGAGCGTCGTGCAAGTCGTTACCAAAATTGGACTGGCAGCGTCCAGCGATGAAATAAGTTGGCAGGGCAATTAAAATTAACGTCGACAATAGGGGCAGATCCTCTGTTATTTTGTTTTGCGACTTTGACACATACTTTCTAATCGAGCCTGTCCTCGTTTTCTCATTATCAATATTCCTTTTCTAACGTTATTTCCGTTTTTATTGTTGCAGCGAAATCAGGATGCACGGTCGGCTGCCATGGAAGTGAGTAGAAACTAAGTTCTCTGCTTTTAATCCCTCGAATTAACTAAACTGCGAAAGACGCGACTTAACGTGTGTTTTTCTCTGTGTTTCTCGTCGTTAACAGTGCACCCGAACAAGGCATATCAGGAAGGGCAGACGTACGTATACAACCTGGAAGGTACATCGGTGACGTCTGTCACTGACGCGCAAGGAGATGCGACTCTTAAACTGTCGGCCACCGTAGAATTGTCCGTGAAACCGGATTGCGTCCATCAACTGCGGTTGAAGAACGTCCGGATCAACGGGGCGGTAATACTTTAAGCTTTTTGCATTCTAATCTGACGTATAAACGTCACACATCTTCTCGCATAATCACGTGCAAACCTTGCCAGAATCGACAAAGTCTCTTTTTACATACATAATATAAAATCAAAGTAGTAAAATGAAATACTCAAATTCTGTATCCAATGTCAAGCAAGTTGTACAATTTTATTTTTACAGTATAAATATTTCATTATGTAAGTATACAAAGTCGCATTATTTATTATTTATGATTTCTGGTGAGAAACAATATCTCGCAGAGAGATTATATTTTTATGGAAAGAGAATTGAAACAATTGAGTATAAAG